CCACCACCACCACCACCAGCAGCATGTTCATCAACAGCAGTAATAGCAACTGCTTAGTCGAAAAGGTGTCAGGGTCACGGGTCGACGGGTCTAGTCATCCCCCTGGTGCTTTAGCCGAACTTTAGTCTCTGAAGAGGAGGGTGAGTCCCCAGCACTTTCCTTGGCCCCGTTTTCATCGTCGCGCGATCGCCGAGGTTGCTAGATGGCCACATATGGGGCCGCGATGCCGTTATTCTCGAGGCTGGCTGTCCTTTTGCATTCAGTGTCGCGGTTTTCAGGTTTCGCTGGTTCAGAGTTAGGTGATGTCAGGGCTGTGTTGGGCAATAACTAGAAGTCGGTGCTTAGGAGATTTAGGCCTTGATTGGTGTAGGGCCGTGCGAGTAGGTTGCGGGACTCTGTCTCCGGGCTGACAGTAGACAAGTCTTATCGCTCGGGATTCAGACCTAGGCTGTCTGGGCTTGTTGCTAAAGGATAGTGATAGTGGGATAGTTCTAAATCAAGTATCCTCGGTCCTCAAACAGGACGATGTTCCGGACTTGCTTACTTGACTAGCGTGGGAGAAGCCATGTTTTGGCCCCTGGCCGTCCGGGCAATTGGGGCCGGCCTCCTCTTCGGAGGGGACTTGGCATGCATCGGCTATGTCGAAGGAGCTGCAGCTGGACAAGAAAGACACTGAGTGAGTCGTCTCCGGCGCAAAAGGTGGTGCCATTTTCGGCAGCGTCTTCGGCGGGGCGCTGATCATGTCCCGCGGCAGGAGGACGATTATCGGCTGGTCGTCGATTCCGAGCATGATCGGACTAGCACTCGTCTTATTACAGCTCACAGCCTGCCACAGCTGACGGGAAGATTCTTGATGGGGATCGGCATCGGCCTCGCCACGCGCAGCTACCTCAGCGAGGTGGTGCTACCCGAGCAGAGAGGCCTTTTTGAGGCAGCCTCTGGGATGCTCCTGGCTGCTTCGGCCAATGTGCTCCTGCAGATGCTGGATTCTGACGCAGTCTGGCGCTACCAGGCGGGGTGCTTGCCTTCTGTCTTCGCCTTCCCCGTGCTGATGGTCGTGTGCACTGTGCCGGAGCCGCCAAAGTGAATGTTGCAGACAAGTGGATCCAGCCCTTCGTCATTTTGCTGGCTGTGCTGGAGGAGATCTCCAGCCTTCGACGGCCAGGTGCAGAGAAGTGTCTGGAGACATATCCATCTGGAAGAGGCAGCCTTGAAGAGCTTTCGAAAGACGCAGACACGGCTGAAGGCCGGGATGATCTGATCCGTCTGTGGGATGACAACGTCGCACACTGACGGATGCTTGCGCGATCATCATCGGCTCCCGGCAGGTCCCTGCTTGAGCCTGGCGCTTGCAGCTGCATTGCTTAATCAGGCCTGTGCTTCGACGTCCATCCTCATCTACGCACGGAAGAGGCTCGCCAGCAGATGCATGCATGTGCTGTACTGCCATGACAATAAGACAAGCACCCTCCGAATCGAGTCTCCGACGCCAGAAGCAGACATAGCAAAACCCGACAGAAACCAAGACTCTATGATTTGTATCACCAGGCCGGTGGGGTGGTGATACAATATCACAGAGTCTTGGTTTCTGAGTCGGCGTGGGCTATCAAGACCTGGGCCTGGCGACCGGGAGGAACACCTGTCAAGGCGGATGGTGGTCGGGGTGGGCGGTGGCCTCTCCACTGTGGCGCTTCTGATCCTCCGGTGCTGCCTGGGGAAGTCCAGGGCTGCTGTTGACTGGCATGAGCTTCTTTATTGCCATCTTCGGCAGCACCTGGGCATCGGCTACTGGATTGTGGGTTGTCGAGGTCACTGCTGTGGGAGGGCCGCGCTATGCCTCGGTATAGCTCAGTCCGTTTCCACAGCCACGCTGTTTGCAGCGGGCTGGTTGACCACCCTGACTTTCAGAGACGTGATTTCTTTGGGGCCTGTTGCGCTTCTTATGAGCATCTACGGATGTTGCATCCTTCCGGAGACCGGGAAGAGTGTGCCAGTGACATTGGGTTGGAGCTTTTGACAGACGATGATGAGAGTGAACCTGATGCGGCCAGCGGTTCGAGTTGACAACTGATTGATTATGCATTGGGGACGTGTCGTGCCGCCTTGCCTGCCTTGATTTTCTGTGACATGTATCGTAGTCGGACTAAGTTGAGCATCAAAACCTGAAAGTCCGCGCCTGCAGGTGCTTGAGATGACCGCGCGGGTTCAGCTGCTCGGCACATCTTCGGGATTTAGGGGTTTCCTTGTGGCTTACAGCTTGAAGCTTCGGCTCTGCGACCAGGAATTGCTACGCTCCATGCCGTGTTGGCTTACTGTCGTGGCCTTGTACTTCTGCACTCATTGGAGAAGTCTAGGCATAGGCAAACCTCAATTTTCTTGCAGCTTCCTTCCTGGATCTCTCCATGCCAGACCCTGGGCTTCGAAGAGGCAAAAGCGGTTAAACACTACGGCTGATGATATAAATCCTGCATTACCCATAATTAGGATTATACCATAATTCCCATAGTTTAGTGTCCTTAAGGTTATGCACGATTTTGATCATCAACAGTAGGACCCTACTAGGCCACTTTGCAAGATCAACCTCCAGCCAAACAAAATCCTGACCCTACGAGTCGTGGCGGCCTGTGCCCATGATTGATTGGCTCTTTTCAATCAGTCCTGGGGCTGAGCAGACCTCACTACAGAATCATGCTGGGCAGCTTCCGGGTCATTGCGGGCCGCTTATGTGAGTGGACTTCCTTCTTTCAAGGGTGAAGGCTGAAGGAAATGTGGGAGCGGCTATTGCGAAACCCGTATTCCGAAAAAAAGCAGCAACGCTGATTGCCACGAATCCTTCCCGTTCTGCGACGCTGCTTGCCGAGGCTTGCAGAAAGAGCGTTGATGGGCTCTATCAGCACGTGACGCTTTGAGTGGCCTGTACGAACTGACCAAAGGCATCCAAGTGAAGCACCAGGCCCCATACGGCTCCAAGTAGCAAATAACCACAGGGCGCAGGTCATAGTTGAATAGCTGGACTAATGGGGCTTTACTGCTGCAGTGATGGAACTTTTAGGCTTACACCTCATATAGACCTTGAAACCTCGAACCCGAAAGTCTTAATCCATGAAGGCACCTGTTCCCAAGGAAGCGTGCCAGCATGGGAGCCAAGATGTGAGGTTGCGCTGCCGCCTGGGTTCCTGTAGCCACTATCAATGTGTTTGGGGGCCAGAATTACCACGGGAGCCACCTATTTCGGGTTACGTAATGAGGATCTGCAGTTTGAACAAGCTGAGAACAGAATAGCAGAGCTCCCATGCCGACGCCAGACGTTTGCTTCAGTGCTGGGTCGCGAAATTCGAGAGTCCGTTTTTCATGTCAAAAAACCGCAACAGATCGCATAGGCACGCAGGTGTTTAGGCTCAGGGCGGGGCGTATAGGCATCGCAGCATTGTTAAGCCTGAAACAGACAGATTGTCTCATCAAGCGCCCTCGTCCCCGGTGTGCTTGCGTAGTTTTCTTCAGACTAGTGCTGCCAGATGGTCTGCTCGCGTGTTAGTGCCAGAATGTTGGAGTCCAGGGCACGTCCGGCGATCCCCAGTGATTTTTCAGGTTTTTGATGATGTTTCCACTGTCCAGGTCATGAAGCAGCCTTGATCTCTGACATCGGTTACGACGATTACGACGAGTTGGGGTGTTAGCAAGCACCTAAATTTCGAAGCCGAGCACTGCAGCGGTCGTGTCTTGCATTGGTCACCTCACCACAGTGGGGAGGCACTGGCGCCGGCGTGTTGATTCAAAAGCCGTGCATGCACTGTGACCCATCGTGACGGTCCCATCTGCTGCTGCTCGCTCTCTCTCTCTCTCTCTATATATATTGCTTTTTATGTAAATGTAAGAAAGAATAAGCAACAGCAGCAGCGGCTTTGACGTAAAGTCCTAGTCTAAGGCCCTGTCAGGTCCCGGTCTGCGTGACTCTAGAGGGCGGCCATGAAACATGCGCTCGTTGTCTAGCTTCGGCGATGATCGGAGCACTTCACTTAATCAGGCTAAACTTAGTGTAGTCAACGAAGTCATCCCTGCTGAAGTATACGAGGGAGTTTGGACGAAGCACTGCCCTGACGCTTTTAGCTTCCTCGACATTATTTTGCAGTGGAACCGCGAGGCCGCCTTTGGAAGACCCCATGGCGAGGATTTAAAAAGGTTTAGAGCTTCAGGGCCTCTAGGGCGGGCTATCCCGTTCTACGGGGCAGGCCCACGTCACGGCTGCCTTCGAGCGGTTACAGCCATGCCCTCAGGCCCTGTGTGTTTCTGCATGCCCTGAATTGCAGCCTTCAGATGCATTATGATGCTTGGCTGTGGGTACGTTGTTTGGGTACAGTCGAACCTATTTGCTGCCGGTCAGTCATGCAGTTCCCGGCTCATGCTGCTGCTGCTGCTTCTGCTGCTACTGCTGCTGCCTTGGTGGTGCTGGTGGTGGTTGTTGTTGTCGTTGTTCAATTGCCGGGGGATTCCATTTTCGCTGCCGCTGATGGCGCAGTAGTGTGCCCTTCTGTTGGGCAGCGCTAGGAATATTTCGCTGCCCGCTTCCTCTTGACGGTGTTGCGCTGTGAAGGAGCAATCGACACCCGTGTACAGTGCTCTGTTTACTGGCTGGCCTTCGGCAGTGGATGTTTATGATGCTTGCCTCCAACATCCAGGTGCTGGTGAAGCAGGCGTTCGTGCGCAGGCTTTTTTGTTTTGTTCTAGAAGGCACCTGGCGAACCCTTGCCACCTGATGCTGATGATGCTGGGCCCTCGCTTGCTGTTGGGGTTGACTTTTCCGGCTGCTTCCGTTGGTGTGGTCAATTTGCTTCTGTATGCTTCTGTTGTGGAAAAGCTGGCCTTTGCCTGTTGATGCAGGTTGTCCTATTTTGGTGATTGGCTGGCCTGTGCGAGCTGCTGGTTCGTGTTTGGTGATTCACGGGACGGGCCTTTGCCAGGTGATGCTGCTGTTGCAGGTTTTCCTGTTTTGGAGATCGACCGGCCTTTGCGAGCTAATGCTGCTGATGCAGGTCTCCCTGTTTTGGTGAGCGACTGGCCTTTGCCAGATGATGCTGCTGACGCAGGTTGTCTTGTTACTGGCCTTTGCGAGCTGATGCTGATGATGTGGGTTCTTTCGTTGCTGTTGCAGGTTTGCCTGGTTTGCCTGTTTTGGGGATCGACTGGCCTTTGCCAGGTGATGCTGCTGATGCAGGGTTTCTTGTTTCGGGTCACCGACTGGTCTTTGCGATCTGATGCTGATGATGTTGGTTCGTGTTTTGGTGACGGATTGGCCGTGCTGGGTGTTGCTGCTGATCAGGTGTTCCTGCTGTGGTGACCGACTGGCCTTGCGAGCTGATGCTGATGATGTTGGTTCGTGTTTTGGTGATCGATGGGCCTTTGCCAGGTGATGCCGCTGTTGCAGATTGTCCTATTTTGGTGACCGACTGGCCTTTGCGAGCTGATGCTGCTGATGTTGGTTCGTATTTCGACGATAGACTGGCCTTTGCCAGATGGTGCTGCTGATGCATAATGGTTTTCCCTTTCCTCACTGCTGGCGTCAGGCGTATCATAAACGGTTCTGATGCAGATGCTGCTGATCTCCTCTCCCCGCTGCTGGTGTTTTATTGAGGGCAGGCGCAGCTAATGCTGCTCTTGCGGGCTTTGTGGTTTACGACGACGTTTCCCTTTCGCTGGCCTTCACGATTTGACATATGATGTGGTTTCGGGGCTTGGGAGGTGGGACTGCCTTTAGTGTTCAAAAGAGTGTGGATTTCTTTGCGCGACCTCGGACTGCTGATGCTCGGCGCCCACCAAGAGACGGTCGTGCTTGCTTGGCGGTGCCTGGAGACCAGCGATGAGCTTTTCCAGCTGATGGTTTTCTTGTTGCAGTATCAAGGAGGATGGTCCTATGAAAGCTGGTGCCGATGATGATATCCTGGCTCCCTACACTGCTGGCGCAGTGTACAGGCTTGTGATGCTCATGGTGCCTTTACGGCTGTCCCGTTCTGCAGTGATGCATTGCTTGTGACAGCAGCTCGCTCTTTATGTCTCGGCTGGTGATGCTCATGATGATTGCGTCGAGCCTGTACTCCCTGTACGTATTTCCCTGCCATATAGCTGCCATATAGACATAGATACAGATCTAGATATGGATATGAAAATAGATATGGATACGAATACGGATACAGACACACACACACATATATATATATATATGTAGACTTGCATGTGTGTATATATATGTATACACACTAGGGAGATATATAATGTGAATTAGTTATAGAGGTACCCATGCTTTGGATATCTGGAATCTTCCTCATTCCATGGCTGCATAGCAGGGAGCCACCGGCAGCGGCATCCCGGTCAGCAGCCGATAAAATGCACGCCAAACATTGACGAATTCCGAACCAATGTGCGCAGCAGGACAGGTGTCATCTAGCAAAGGCCGGCAGACCGCACACAAAATCCAGACAGCATACAAGACAAGAAGCGCCAGCATCATACCTCTCGAGGTGGCCAACATCCTGAGGCCATGAAAAGCATCTAAACAGCTATAGAGTAGGAGCAAAGGCCCGCGTGTCCACAGCGCCTGCGCACCGGAGACATGAATCAGCAAAGGTACACCGATCGTCTCCAGACACGGTCAATGGAAATCTACAGGAAATCAGCCAGCCATCGCCAGCTTTTTGCCTTTGGTTGCCCTGCATGTATGTGCCGTGTAGCTCTCATTGAGTGTATGCGAATGAACCCTTGCCTTGCGGGGGTTGATTACTGCGCTGTGGCCTATGTGGGACCAACCGGTAGAAAGAAAGATAGAACGAGAGAAAAATGGATAGAAAGATAGCCCCTAAAACCTAAACTTTTAAACCCTTGTCCGAGTGTGAGTGCTGAAGCCCTTAAATTTGATAGGAAAGCCATGATGAGCGTATCGCTCCCGAGGATGCAGATGGAATGGGCAGCAGCCACAGGATTGGGCTCCTCCGCCTTTGGCCTCAGGCACGGCACGAAGCTTTTTAGGGTTTAGGGTTTATAGGGCTTTGGGTATGCAGTTTAGGGGGTTTAGGGTTTAGGGTTTAGGATGCTTTTGTGGAATTTTGGCGGACACTCAGAATGTGCTGTTGGCAAGAGACCCAGTGCAGAACCTTACCGGAAACCGCAGGGTGGACATCGGACGATACAGGCATGTAGGCTTCCCGGCAATCGGGAAAGGCGATGAACAGATTCGGCTGGTAGATGGTGGACTCCATTCGCAAGGTTGTGCTGACCTGGCCGCCTCTTCCGAAAACTGAATCAACAAGTCTTTTGTTGTAACTCAACTATGTTGGCAGCAAGCTCACACACACACACGCACAGAAGAAACCACACTAGAAACCTTTGTGCATCGATGATCATGAAGCCGAGGAGCCTTTGCACAAAGAAAAAACCGTCCGTCACACAGCAGTTCCAGATCCGGAAACAGACTCCTTCAAAAGCATGTCCAGTTAGAGGCACGTTGCAACTACCTTTCCCAAACAGCGCCTGCAACCCCTAATTGAACTAGACTAGACACTGCAGAGCACACTGGAAAGTTCGGATTGATTCGTGCTCTGGGGGTGATGGTGTGGCCGTCAAGTTGGGCTCAGGCACCTCGAAAGCCTGCCATCACTGCTGCAGGTTTAGAATCTTATGGCCGGGAGTCGTGATTTCAGAGCGCTGAGGTCTGTGTTCTCAGCATCATGGCCTATGCAACCATTGCGATGTCCGGTGCCGAGCCGCACAGCAAAAGGAAAACGATACTGCTTCGTACGGGGAGGTGTGCGGAAGAGCATGGCAAGAAGTCAGTCGGCATGCCCACGTAACAGACACACTTGTTTGTGTAACGGAATCCTGTTGATCCAAGTTTAGCCGGTGCAATTCGGCTTCGATCGAGTTCGGGGATCAAGGAATGGAGCAGAATTAGGGCGTGCATGGTTTAGAGCCGAAGCAGAGGAAACCCTAAACCCTGAGCCCAGGGGAACTCCCCAATGCACCGTCCAGGGTCGGTGTCGTTGGTCCGACACCAAACTTGAGCCAGGGAAACCGTGTGGGTGTCCACTGGTTGATCACTGATAGACTAAATTCGTACCTCAAGGAGTGGCTCATTCAAGGTGGTTGGATGTTGTTGGTTTACATGTGCTTGTTTAATTTATCGGTGCCACTTTTTAGGTGAGATCCCGGGTCATGAGCGTCTTTCTGGTCGAGGTTAGGCTCCATCGGGTTGATCGAACCGGCAGATTCGTTTCTAAATTCGGCCTGTGAGGTGTCATCAGTGCTACTTCGATGCTGGACAAATCGTCAGGACCTTGTCTTCCGTGCTTGACGCATTGGCGAGCTGTTCTGAAAAGCCGACAAGAACTCCGTGGGTGACAAATCGAAACATGAAGATAGGTTCTCCTCGGGTTTGATATTGTGGAAGTACATGTGGGTATATATATATATACACACACACACGCATAGACATAGTTATCTTTGGCTTTGGTTTTGCATCCACTCATCTGACAAGACGGGACAGTCAAGAAATAAGAGTGAAGGCACAGTCCCGCTGCAAACCCTTAACTCTGCAGGGCACGAGTTCAGACTTTGTGCTCCATAGCGACTGGCGACATAGACGCCCAAAGACTATCAGCTTAGTAAAAATATGACCGGAGCCTTCTATCATTGCTCGCAGGCTCAATCAGTCAGTCAGTCAGCGTGTGTGTCTGTGCGTGTTTTGGTGTGTGAGATTGGCCTTTGTACGTCTCTCGGGATGTCGAGCTTAGGTTTGACGTGCTAGAAGGCTAGAAGACGCATCAAATCTGAATTTCTTAGCCACGACCTTTCTGTAAACTGAACGCCGTCCTGAGGTGGAGGATTGAAACTTCAAGGGCTGGATGTGAACACAACGTCCGTTAGGCTGAAGTCATTTGCTTACTTCTTTCCTGCCGGGTTTATTGGGGATTCTCCTGGCTAGACTAGCTTGGTAGTTGGCCTGCATGGCGATGTTGGACACGAGTTTGCTCCTTCAATCGCCTCGGCCTCTCGTTGATTTGCGTAGATCAGCCTGCGGTCGCAGGCCCCCAGGCCGATTGACCTTTCGCAGAGAGGGTAGAACTGTACACGTATCAGTGAATTGATAATTCATTGCCGCTGGCCAAGGCCTGCTGTGCTGAGCAACGCAAACAAAGTTCCGCATGCCTCGTCTCAGCATATCGCCGAAGCAGAAAACTTCTGAGGATCGGCGACGATGCACCTGGCAACGACCGCAAAGCAGCAATCAAGAGCTGACGTTCGAGATAGCAGATCAGGCTCTTCTGGCCGTTGGGGAAAAAGCTTTGGGCATTGCGAAGAAGAAACTCCACTCGTCAGAGGTCGGGTGGACCGAGGTCTTGCGCACCAGATCTCGGCCAACTGTCAATTTTACTCCAGAGGTCACAGACTTTAGGGCTTTAGGGCCTGTCGAGTCAACTTGCAACCCATCATGAGTTGAATGCTATGCTCACCATGGAGCGTTTGGTTTGCATCGTGATCCGGGACAAGGCAAGCGATCTCAGCTTTCATGCTCTCGATTCAGGAGATGGATTGGCCCAACGAATGATGGATTTGGCGAAAGTGCGGATGGTAGCCGGGGAGATTGAGGAAAAGGGACCGGAATTCCCATCCTTTTTCCTCATTCTCCCCGACAGCCTTCCGCTCTTTCGCAAAAACACAAGGCCAGGAGTCGAGGAGGCAGAGCTCCACGCATCAAGCGAGGTAGCCGTGCAGTCTCACCTTGGACACAGCACTTGGGGTTGCTAGCAGTTGCAGTTCTATTTGCCTTAGTAGCCTTAGTATGTACACAAGGAAGACCTTCACACAACAAGCGTCAACTTGCCACGGGAGCCGGAAGCACCTCTGCAACACATGCGAACCAGATTTGTCTACCCTGTGGGCACGTCCATGACAGCCCTGCCCAAAATTTCCAAGATTCAAACGGCCGTTAGTAAGCTCATGAAGCCCGTTGCTCATTCTAGAGGTTGCTATCGCTGCGTTCTTCCTTGCCTGGGGCGCCTTGCTTGGAGGTGGGTGGCAGGTCTTGTTGTGGCTTTGGTGGCTTTTCTTGTTTTGTTCTTTCCGGACCATGAAGGTCTCACTGGTTCTTAGTAGGGAATGGGGGAATGGGTTATTGGGACTACTGTGGGGAACCTTAAGGGACTATCATAGGGATCCATTCCCCCTTTCCCTACTAAGAACCAGGGAGAGGTTGAGTGGGCCACCCCAGGCTCCCAGGATACCTGTCAAGGCTGTGCATGAAGCGTTCAAGACCCCACCAGCCGGCAGTTGCGCTTCGGAGCGTTTACAAAACCTTAGACTCCAACCCTAAACCTAAACCCTAAAACCCTAAACCCTAAACCCTAGGCAAAAAGAAACCCTAAACGCCAAACCGTCCTGTCCGTGCTATGTCTGAGGACTGCTATGCAAGTTCGGTTCAAAATTTATGCCGCTTCGAAGCGAGGCGAGGCTTATGATAATAGTAGTGGAGAATAACAATGATGCTACCAAAATAACAGCAGTAGAAGAAGAAGTAGTAGTAGTAGTAGTAGTAGAAGTAGAAGTAGAAGTAGAAGTAGAATACAAGTAGAAGTAGAAGTAGTAGTAGTAGTAGCAGCAGCAGCAGCAGCAGGAGTAGTAGTAGTAGTAGTAGTAGTAGTAGTGGTAGTAGTAAAAGTAGAAGAAGTAGTAGTAGTAGTAGTAGTAGTCGTAGTCGTCGTAGTAGTCGTCGTTGTAGTAGTAGTAGTAGTAGTAGTAGTGGTAGTGTAGTAGTCGTAAATGTTTAGACCCAAGATTAAGATTCCGGCAGAGGGCGCGAAACTTCGTTCTGCCTCGAGCATTCCTGAGTCCAACTCGAGTGTCGTCATGTGCAGCCTGCGCACTACTGTTGTAAGCTAATCACTGCTAATCTGCTTCGCTCCCTTCTACGCGGAGGTACGTGCAATTTCATTTCGGCCACCGCCGGGGCCCTGGATTGCACCACTTTGGAGAGGACCTGTGGCTTCGGTCAACTTGGGGCTGCGCTTTGAAAAATCTGCATGCATGCAAGCACATATGTACGTCAAAGCATGTATTCTATAGCTGTGCATGCACGGGTGGCTGGATGGATGGATGGATGGATGGATGGACGTTTCTGTCGCTAACGTAACGTAACGCAATGTACAGCGTAATGTTACGTTAGTCAAGACGCTATGTATCTAGTGCCTACGTATGCCTATGTATGCATGTATCTAGGTAGTGTATGCACTTTTGTTTGTATGAAGGTATGTATGTACGCATGTAATTTAGCAATATGCCTGTCTGACTGTACGCCTGTCTGTATGTAGGGATGTATGTATTTATGCGTGCATGTGTGTATATGTACGTGTGCAAACGTCGTACATATATGTTTACTTTGCCTCTGCCACATGAACATGTACAGTATAGACTTGCGCGAGGACAATGGTCGAAACTAAATTGCCTTCACCTCCGTGCGGAGTTATTCACTCTCCCTGTGTTTCTGCATTAAAGTTTGCCTCTATAGATAGCAAACAATGCTCGTTCCTGCCGTAAGATCCACACAACGAATACCGAAGCGCTCGATACGAAACCGAAACAAAGTAAGCAAAGCCACAGCGGTGACTCCCGCCCGAGCTTTATCCCGCCCCCAACCCCCAATGCAAGGCGAACATACGTATACACATAAATAATGCATACTTATATATATATATATACTCTGTACGTATGTATGTATGTATGCATATATGTATGTAGGTATGTACGTATATACACACACATATATATATATACATATATATATATATCTCTGTCTGTCTGTCTGTCTGTGTGTATGTATGTATGAAATGTATGTATGTATGTATGTATGTATGTATGTATGTATGACATGTATGTATGTGTGTATGTATGTGTGTATGTATGTGTGTATGTATGTATGTATGTATGTATGTATGTGTGTGTATATGTACCATATGTATGTCTATGTATGTACGCATGTCTGTCTGTCTGTCTGTCTGTCTGTATGTGTTTATCTATATGTACATGTTTACGTACAGACAGATTGAAACAGTTGTGAAGAGTTGCGTATATATGTATGTAATATACTCGACCGCCAAAGAGCCATCGAAGTTTGGCCTGGAGGCTCCAACGGAGCGAGAGAGGATGTAAGCCTGGCTTTGCTTCACCTTGCTGGCTTCAGCTCTAGGCTGTAGAGAGTTTCGGAGTTTAGGGCCGTTTTTAGGCTACAGGTATTCTGGATTTAGGGTTTCCGGAAGTCACATCACAGTGTCTAGGTTTCCGGGAATCGAGTTCAGGACTTGGTGGGGCAAGGCTTTGGGCTTAGGTTTGCGTGTGGAGAAATTGCCCTTATAGGCTCAGGCTATAAAGTTTCGCTTGTTTGCGGGTCCACGGTGAAGCTTCGCAGTCTTCGTAGTACCAGGGTACCAAACTATTCTATACGATACTATACTACACATGTTATACATTCGATGATAATATGTATGTCCGTGCCGCGTTTTCAGGTGTCCGGAAGGAACTTACAATCAACAGAACCCACCGCACTTAGGGATGGGTGAGCAGATCGAACAGTCTGTGCTCTGAGCGTTACCGAACCGTCGCACCGTAGGAACATGGGCAGATCATCGGAACCGACGAGTCACAAGTGCGCAGCGCTGCTTCACGGCATGGTGCTCTTGCCTGCAGCCGCCAGAAGACGGTAGGCAGAGCCTCACAGCATCTTCCTTTTCAGCTACCACCACTGTTACTAGTATATTCTACTACCACCACCCCGGCACTGCTTTGAGCACAGCTTTTTGGTAGCACGAGTCTGAGTGTCCATAGGTATTATGTTTGCAACATATCACTTCCTCGGTCACACCAGCGAGCACAGCACTGTTACCTTTAAGGTCAAAGCGCGAGACCCACAGAAGGCTCGTCACCCACAACCATCCAAAGCCGCAAAGAACATCTACAACCCAAACCCAAGAGTCGCCGTGTGCCCACACGGTATATGACTGTATCTCGTTTGATGCGAACGGACCCGTAGGAAGGCATAGGAGACCCTTCGGTTTTGATTCAGACCTGGAGGCCCTACATGCTCAGGAATCGGGAAGCCAGATGTACAAAGAAACCCTTGCAGATTTTAGCAGGGGTTTAGGGCTTATAGGGTTTGGTGGGGTGGCTTCCTTGAGCCATGGCAGATGCCGATGGCTCCAGCGAAGCTACCGAGAAAAGCTCGGACGACCTGCTGTCGAAACTGACCGAAGCTCCTCCCAAGTTACTTCTTAACCCCTAAACCCTGGGGCGCCGTGTAACTTAACGGCGCCTTCAGGGATTATGTTTGTGATTCGTCGGCTTTCACCACGTGTGATGACAGCAACACAGGGCTCTAAACTTTCTTGGGCGGCCCTTTCCCAAACTCGAGCAGGGCTTCAGAAGGCTGGTCCCGGCCTGGTGCCTCCCTCACAGATTCTCACCGAAAAAGTAGCAACTTTAACAACAGTGACTTCCACGACTTCGGTTTTTTTTCAACAGCACGAGCCTCACCCGCCTTCTCAGCTCTGCCTTGTCGCGAGCCCTGCGGAGTCGGCTTTGGAGCCCTGACAGAAACTTGAGAAAACCAAGACACTACACACCCCTAAGGCCTTGAACCCCTGCAGCCATGAACGCACCTGTGTCGCCAACACCAAAACCCTTCCAGCCTTTTGACCTCAGGATTCCCAGAAGCACGAACTCGTGGGCCGTGCTCTGCAGCTACAAGATGCAGAGCCTTGACAGTCCATCGTTTTGGATCCGGGTTAGTGAAAAATTCGGCGGGCGCAAGCGTTTTTAAATGGCCACTCGGCGGAACAATGATTTCGATCGGTGCATGAGAGAGATGCGTGCATGCATACGTACATGCATGCATACATACATACTTATGTCTTGTCAAGTCCCATGGCTGCCTATAAAGCATCAGAGTTAAGCTCCGCATCGTCGTCGTAGGTGTCGTAGATGGTGATATGTCAGGTTTTCCCTTGACGTTGAACGTTAATCCGTTGAACTCTGCTTGAAGTTTTGCCTGACGAGCCCTATGAAGAGCACGTGCTCCTGCACCCACGGTAAGTGTCCGAGATTCATATAGGAGTTGTTGCCACTACAACTGCGATTGCCAGAAGTTTGACAGGCTCGCTCTAAAGGCCTAACCCCAGTCAAGGCCCAAGATGAAATTTTCGAAAGTCAGGACCAATGGCGACAGCTTCTGGAGACTGCCGCAGCTTATCGGGCGGAACGTCGAGTGTCTGCGAATTTAGGCGGTGGTTTACTCGATACATGACGTGATCTCGGTGTTGATGGTTTAGGATTTCCCTCGTCATTGATCCTCTTTGTAGGTTTGGCGAACTCGCCGGGACAAACCCAAGATTTGTTCAGAGTTTTGTTTCCAGTCTGAGTAGATGAAAGCTCAACTTGAGCACACGAGGTTTGGGAGTTCAAGGCCTAGGGCCAGTACTCGTATTCATCGATACTTGTGACGATTTTGCAAGCAGAGCCAGAAACATGCCCTTGCTGCATGTATGTGATAGTTTGGTGCGCAGGGGCGTTCTTCACAAACGAGTAGTTTCGCAATGTTCTTGTTTTGCTCCGCACAACGGATACTATGCGCCTTGCTATTGTTTGCAGGTGTCCCATGGTCGCCACTTGATAGATGCCCCGAAAGTACTAATTATGACCCCTCTCTCCGACAGCCTGCACAATATAGCATACTTCAGCAGACTGTGTTTTATTCAAGCTAC